AATCCATGCTGTCTCAATTTTGGTCCGCGTAGGCTTAATATTCTTCATTGTAGATTAAGAAACAGAGCAAGTACTCTCAATTATGATTTTTTAAGAGACAATCTTACTTTTTCAGCACAATGTGAATGTGGCCACACGTGCGAGGACTCGTGTCACTTCTTCTTCACATGCCCTAAATACCACATCCTACGCCTTTCCTAATTGCAGGATTAAGCATGGTATCCCGTAGATGTCATAGGTGATATAGATTTAAATAATGAGGCAAACTCAAACAGTGCACGAACGGTTCAAGTCTATATCGACGGACTGGCAGGTTTTGACATTTCCGAGCACGTCACCCNAATATGTTTACATAATTTTGAATAATTGTGTATCTGATCTGGCTGATATGGAGGAAGGGCTTTGAGAACACGGAACGAGTGGATCTACAGAGTACAGCTTTATGGAATGTGATGGACAAAGTTTATGAAAGTGTTGATTGATGTTTTTCCAGCCAGTCAGATTGCTGTTAATCAAATATTGTTTTAAACATTTACATGTGTTTGTATATTATATATATATTTAGGGGAAGATCCTACCTATCTTTTACCCTTCTTCTTCTTGCTTTCCTTCTCTCACTGTTTCTACTATATGATCAGATAAAGTTAATTCACTGCTGTCCATTATGTATTATACAACAGGAAAGGGCGTTACTAAGTTGGCAAAACTTGTGCTCAATCCTAATTGTCCTTATTTACGACAATAAAAATATGTTTAAACTAAAAAAAATAGGGCGCTAGGTATATTAAATGTTGTATATTATTATTATTATTAATATTAATATTTTTACAATATTTTCCAAATGTCCAGAATTAATCTCAGTTGGTGTTTTGCCTGTCTATCGATGTGTTGGTAGAGACGTGCCAAGAATATTTGTTTCGATGGTACTTAGGAATAAAATTTTCTTTCTGAGTCAACGTCAGGGTCTGTCATGATGATTACATCATTCTCCTTTTCCCCGCCAACAAACAGAATAGTTACATAAAAAGTCAGTGGCGTAGCTTGCCCTTGTTCGGAATTGGTTCGTTGAGGAGTGGGTCCAGGGCAGGGCCTTGGTAGGTGAGGGACAAGGGGGGTACAACAAGCAGTGTGTTTGTTTTTGTTTTTCCGATTGAGAATTCGTTAGATTTACCTGCGCCTGTAAATATCAATCACCATATACATGTATTATAAATCAGAAAAATGATCCTCACGGACGAAGAAATATAATAAAAAGAAAAATTCTCAACAACGAGTCTTTAGTACTTTCATCTCTTCTTTCCTAGTAGAGATGAAAGTACTAAAGACTCGTTGTTGAGTTTTTTTCTTTTTATAATATATATATATATATATATATAAAGAAAACATTGAGAAGTCCTTGTGTTGGAATTAAATATAAAAAACGTCATACTTTCTTGTGTAAACAACTAGGACCTCACAATGCCTGTTTTCAAAATAAACACAGTCTCCTGATGAACGGGGAATCAACCCGAGAAAGGCCTCGAGACGATATCTCTGTCTTTTGTTTTATTATATATATATGTAAATTGGAAAAGTACACATTTATCGTTTTTCTTCAATGTACATACAGATTATAAAAAAAATTGAAAATCTTAATTGTGATTGGAATTGAGTGTTAATATATACAGTTGTACCGCGGTACTTTCTGGATCAATGATCATACGGAGTATAATACCCACCCGCCTTTTTTTAACACAATAGCCAAATTATTCTTCGTGACGTCATTTTACTCCTATTGCATAATCGTCATATTTTCAAGACGTCATTTCCTACATTTAGCAGATACGCTACCTCATTTGGTATTTATTCTTTTTAATAAGTTGTTTTGTCCTGAGCAACCCAGATTTAATTAGTAATTCCATTTACCATGAATTATTGGTTGGATTTCGTCTATATTCAACTCTTTTAAGCGTGCTGGGAACCATATTAAACCATATGAATCGTAAACTATTGTGATCATTTAGAAAGATAAGGTTAAAAATAAATAAAAACGTCTTAATCAGTCCTTGGGAGCTACAACATATTTTAAATTTCTGATTCAGTGCTAAACAAATCTACAAAAAATAATCTCAGCACTTTATATGAAGAAAAACATGCGAATTTCTTTAAACCGACTCAAAAAGTTTATCTAAAAGTTAAAACGAGAGAAGGAGGAAAAACAGTTTAGCAGTCTGCTCACTCGTATCTCCGAGAACCTGGGATAAAGACGACAAACACAATAAAACAGAAGATAGAAATGACTAGTCAGCAAACTGGGCAACTCCAGAAGAGGCAGACCGTGCTTACCTCCCTTTGACCATACATAGAGAATAATAGGATACAATAGGATAAATAATGACACTCTGCCTCTATATCCATATCTTAATATATTTTAAACGTATTTATAAAATATTATTCATTAATTGTCATTTCCTGAGATTTCTTTATCCCGGCAAAATGATTGTATTTCAGTTCAAGTCTTTAATCGTTGGCGATGTAATAACATATTCGGGGAGACTGTTCCAGATTCCGACAACCCTAAAGCTAAATGAATATTTCCGAATATCATGCTTGAAATGATTTTTCCTGATTTTCTGTGCATGTCCTCTTGTTCTAGATGATGTATCAAACTCGAAGATTTGACCATGCCTTGATCTACATTTGTATCAAGCTTAGGAGTTACTGGGGGCAAATAATTAATTGGTCACTTGGATGATGGATCGGGATAATTTGAAAAAACCCGAAAGAGGCTTGCAAACTTTTACAACTTGTGAAACTTTTATAGGGTCTGGAATATTAATGGAGACCCTTTGTCGTTGTTTGTCATAAAGCTGATAAAGCGACATCACTGACATCATTTTAACTTCGAATTCTGGAATAGAAATGCTGTGCAAATAGTTTTCGAAATTCAATGATAAACAGTGTTAAAATTTAGGAATGTGAAATCAAATGATCTGATTATGAACTTATCTCCTTTCTGTATCTGGGGATGTCTGTTCTACATTAGCCCGAGATTCCGTAGGCCCTGCCATCAGACATCTAACTGTCAAAGTCTGGTGCCGGGGTCAGAGCAAACTCGGGCTAGGTGTAAAGTACCAATTTTTGATATGTTACCCGAGTAGAGGTGGTTAAAGTGGCGAAGAAAAATATTTAAACTAAAATAAATATTACAAATAGAGATGGAAATCCTTAAAAAAAACCTAGAAGAGCCGCGGGGACCGCGCATAGACATGGTCTGTAGACTAAAGCCGAGAACAACGCCTATCAGACCCCAGGGAGACTTGTTTTCGGATTTGGGACTTTCGAATCGAACCCACTCACGTGAAAGTCGACGATAAAACGTCATCCAAAAAACAAACTCCATTTAAATATGTCGCTTACATAAGAAGTATCATAGTGAGGTTCGTATTGCCATTCGAATTTATTAAGAATTTGCCCCCCCCCCCCCCCCCCCCCCCCCGGTCTTGGGAGATATCTCGTCGAAACCTTAAATGGATGTACATACAATTTTCTGTCTCCACGTTTGAATTAGTAAGCTAGATATTTGATATTTGTTTCCGGCTTAATATTATTATTATTGTTAACTAAGAAAAAGAAAGAAAGATCAATCATTCATATCAATAAGCCTCCAACACAAAGTCGACCTTACGATTAGCTCCTATATACAGTGGCGGATCCAGAGACCTATCTGGGGGATTTCCAAATTTCCTGGGGGTCTCCATGTGGGGAAAATTGAGGAAATGGAGTCCGTAAACTTATTTCTTGATATATCTTTCAAGAGGCTGAGTATTACAGCATTATATCAAATATAGATCAATGTGTCCTATATTTGTCTGCTTCGATGACTTCGTGTTACGTTTCATTTCATGTGACAATGTACTTCATGGTAGCAGTGAGGTGTATCTATACATACACATCTGTCACGCTTTGTAGAATCAATTCACGTTAGTGCATCTATGCTAAGCGTGTTAAGTTCTATTTATAGAGATGAGAAAATCGAGTCCCTAGCTGGAATGTTCTAGAAGGACACACGAGGAGTTACGCACTATCTAGCTAAACTCAATGAAGAAGGACGGATACCTAAATATTTTCAACCGCAACTTTTGAAGCACCTCAGTATTATATATATATTTTATAACTCTTTACACACACAGCGAAACCACGTGTGTTCGTAACTACCCACCTAACACACACGTCCTACCATTACTTTTAAATACACATTGTCACTGTGAAAATAAGTATAAGCCTATTTCTGTTTGAAATTAAGCGACAGCTATATACATTCAAGGGTTTATTATATCGAATATTAATTAAATTCGTAACTTAGATATAATTTGATTATATTTCAACGGTGTTTTTTTTTAAATTCAGATTTAAGAAATAATTAAAATACAATAAGAGTTTAAGTAAATAATTAGCCGGCTATTAAGGTGATAATCGACATTGATGAGAAGTACTTTAAAGACAAATATATTATGACAGTGATGTTTATTTCACGTGTTTGTGGGAAACTTCGAAACGGCAAAGGCCTATGTCATATATTCAATACTTCACAATATTAATTATCTAAAATCGTCGATCACTTGCTGAAAAAAGTACAATTTTAAAGCATTTTACCAACGAAAGTACAACTTTAAACAATTTTTGTTTGTTTCTGTACTGTTTCTATCTTCTTCATTTTAAATACTTTTAATTTTAATTCCAAACTATCCTCAGAATCTGAGCTTCGTTTGGACATGTTTGGACAAGCTGTGTATTGCACAACCCTTTGATATTTTAAAGCTCAGGAACTCGCTCAGAAGCGACCACAAATGCGTTAGGATTGCTTTCGATCTAAACGCACGGAAGACTGCGACTCGTTCCAAATAACGGGGAAATACGCAAGATTATAAAAATAGAACAAATTCTCTGCAATGATTGGTCAATTTCTGCAGCAATTTATTTCGCCTGTGTGCTACGTCACAGCAGGTATATAACTAACCGGGATTCCCCCTGTCGGCTCGTTGTTGGCCTGTCTCCCCATCTGGTAAGCCGTGTAAAGTCGTATGGTGGTTGTGCCCTTGGCCACCGGCGATTTTTACCAGGAAACCAATATTCATTGTAACAATCGTCATCGTAAGACAGTGCTAGTGAATCAGATATCCAATGGACGTATAAATTTATGAAAATCTGTGAAGGAGTGAGACTTGTCGCAGTAAAACTCTACGCCGAGTTGGGCTGTGTACACGTAGACCGGTCGACAGCTGACCTAGTTTGTTGGCGAGCTAGTCAACACGAGGGGTACCTAAAACCTTCCAGCTGACACACAAAATGGAGGCCGACCCGCTCATGGTGAATGATTGTATAAATGACTTCGACTTAGACCAGTTTGTCGAACGTTCAGCTGCGATTAAACAAGAGACACTTGATCGGCTCGACTTCAGCGATTGTTGCAATGGCGGAGCGAAATCCCCGGCCACGGATTCCGAGGACGGCTCGACCACACCCTCGATATGTAGTGTGCCCCAGTCCCCGAGTTGTTTCAGCAGCAGTAGTTGTAGCAGCGTTCCTCCCAGTCCCACGGAATCTAAAAACCTGTACGATGACATAGGCTGGCTAACACAGAGTGTGTCCTTCAACTCGGCCAGCATGGAGGGGGTCTCTGAGGCAGTTGACGTATTGATTTCCAGCAGCCCGGAGTTTGTGAACAATTTCACCAAGTACTTGGTATCTGGGGCCGAGGCTGGCAAGGAGTCACTCCCTAGTTCTCCCCCCGACCAAGCTAACATAACAACCAAGGTCCCTTCCCTCAAACGGAGCAGGAGCAATAAGAAGAAAATGGACGACGAGGAGTTGGTTACTCTGCCAGTGAGAGAACTGAACCGGCGACTTCAGGGGCTACCAAAGGATGACGTTGTGAAATTAAAACAGAAAAGAAGAACATTGAAAAATCGTGGTTATGCTCAAAATTGCCGTTCCAAACGCATGCAGCAGAGACAAGACTTGGAAGTCACTAACCGTTCTCTTGAAAAAGAATTGAAACAACTTCAGAGGCAGCTGTCAAACTTGACACGGGAGAGGGATTTATATAAACAACAGTACGAGTTTCTCAGGGTGAAATGTAGCTTGGCTGTAAGCAAAAGTACCAGGCCACATGACTTGGATGGGTCGGTGTCTAGCTATGGTCCAAGTTCTCCAGACAGTGAATGAAAGACTGGTAATTAATAACTGTTTACCAACATACACATTCTTGATACATTCTGCACATAGTTATCTCAGTTAAATCAATCAGTGGAGTATAGATTTTAAGATTATATAGTATAACAGGCATGATCAGTTGTAGGAAATAGCTGTTAAATAGAAAAGTTCAGGACATTTTTGACCAACTAATGATCTAGCTAATGCGAGTTGTTACTTGAACGAGTATTGTTGATTATTACTTGACATGATATCAGTACCAATATGATGGTTGATATAAGATTGACATTTGATTTTGTTTGTAATATAATGTACAGTGAAGATTTGTATACATACATTTACATGGTCTATCTGTCCTTGGTGTGTATGATTCAATTGTCAATGTAGATATATTTTTGCAAAAAAAAAAGCATAGTACTCTAGCATGAATTTCAAGCATATTTAAGTTACTATAATGGAAAAAAAACTTGTCGTAAAATTTTATCTGCTTTGAATATTGCAATATCATAGGTACATTGATGTGCATAAAGGATCATCCTAGAGGCAGGTCAATCCCCCCTTGTCCCTGTCAGCTTGTATCTGGAGGGATTTTCATTAGTGCTTGTTACGTAATATTGCATGTTAGGATGTAAAAGTTGTATATCCTAAAGCTAACTTCCCCTGTGACAGCCCATAGAGGGTAGCATGCAGAACATTTATGGTATCGCATACCTAGCAGTGCCCCCTGTACAAGGCCCCCCCTCGATTATGAATACAGTGCTGCAGGGGCACCACTTGGGATCAGGATAATCACCATTACTGTTCTAACCCCTTGTATAGCCTCTTGATGTTAATTAATATGGGCAACACACAGTTAACAGTTTCCCTGGAGCTGCATGAATGACTGGAGGGAATGGGGCACCGCAAGGGATGTTGTGGTAGGGGAGGAAGCATTTAGGGGCGCCTTTAGGGGTTATACAATGGCTTGGCTGTATATGCTTTGTGCAGCAGCATTATACAAGTAGATACAGGGGCTGGCCATATGGGGGATTGACTAAAGCTTGATCCTTGTTGCACCTATTGAAAAAATCTTAAGTGACTATACCACTGTTACCATGACAGCTATACATTGTTCAGAAGTTATTATATCATTATAATTTCACAAATTTTGTGTGATTCACATATTGTTAGATTTGGAACATTTTCCCCTTAACAGAATGTATTCCATTGAATGAATGCATCATTTAATGTTTTGTTTAAAATGGTAGATATATCTTTTTCAAAATACTGATATTGCATGATTCACTTTTTGTGATCATAACCAAAGTGTTACCAGTTTCTTTATTTTTCTCATATGTTCCTCATAAATCCAGTAGTTGGTTATTATACACAGGTCTGGCTGATCACACTGGGGAGATTTCTTGAAATGGAATATTGAGGTCGCAGAGTGCAATTATAGAATGTTAGCCAATGGAGATTTTAAAATATTTTAAACTTTTCACATTTTTTGGAATGAGAGGAATGGTTATGTCACTTCATCATTTGTAAATAGTTGTATATTTAGCCCCATTTCCCTTCCCCCTCCCAAATGTTTGAACTGAAAGGTACCCACTGCAAGGGCAACTATACTTAGTATAAACCAGTGCGGTACCCCAGGTTGATAAATACAATGATCTGTGATACAAGAAAATGACAAAATTGTTTGTGAGCGAGACACACAAGTCTGACTATAAAACCTTTTTATAAGTTATGATGAAAAGAGACCTTTCTTAAGGATGTGTCTCAGTACACCGAATTTGCAAGTCGCCGAGTGGCAACTACTAAGAAACTATCCCCTTGTTATTTGTAGGGTCATGATAGTTGATACGTAGATATATACACTTCGTGTATATTACCGGAACGAGTTATGAGTGAAGAACTTTGTATACATCATTCATGTTGTATACAAATTTGACTTTTTTGTGTTTTTTGTTTTGTTGGAATTTGTTATGCGAGTATATATGCTGACTAGTGTATATGCAGAATTAGTGTATAATAAGTGTATGTCCAGAATGTGTTTACTACATATATGTATATGTGATAAAAAAATGTATAAAAAAAAGTTTTAAAAATGGGCTTCAACAACCAAAAAACTTTAAAAAAAAATCTTGCATTTTTCTCTGATAAAGAGATAAATCAAGGCCAAAAAAATAGAAAAAAATGTATATATATTTAAATATATGAAAAAAAAATTGAAAAAAACAATTGTAACCTTCCAGCTTGACCAATCACCTGCTATGTCTTGTATGTGGGAGGTGTTGTGAGTCGAGCTCCTGACTTTGCCAGTTACCATTTAATGACCTGATCGGACATGACATGTACAATAACTTGTTGTCAAAGACTTGACAGAGTTACCTCTCTTGTTTGTAACTCGTCGAAGACTTTACAGAGTTATTTCTCTTGTTTGTTAAGGCTGACGTATTATTCGTACAGTAAAGCAGGTAGTATAGAGGACAGCACAAGTGAACAATGGTAGAAAGAAGGGTACATTACCTTTAGTATACATACATCTTGCACAGCGATGCTGTCGACTCGATAAACCTATTAATAGTGCTTCAGAATGTTAATAATCTCAATTGTGATAATTTGTTGTTGATGTTGTTATGGAAGAGATTTGTTTTACAGTAGAAGATTGTTACTACTGATAGCATGTTATAAAGTGTACCACTGTTAACTATTTCTGTTTTCTGTTTTTAATAGTCTTTAATTAATTGATGAAACAGTTTAAACATTATGTATGGTACACTGGAATAATTCCTGAACATCATGACTTCAATACTGTGCTATTAACCTTGGTGCAGAGAGGCAATATGTCGCTTTTAATTCAATGGTTAGATGTTAGTGAGGTGAGGTGCCCCCGTCTGATTGATAACTTACCTGGTACCCAAACCCGTTACAATACACAGGGTCCAAGTTGTACCATATGGAGATTATTTTTGTATGTTACTAGCCTACTGATTTGTTGATGCATTGGTAAAGAGCCTTGTGATTGGTTGACTCAATCTCTCCATCCATATGTCTACTTAACTTAAATTGACCTTAATTACCAATGCAAGGTCAGAGGGCACATCAGATAAATGTTGGATGGAATAAATGTTTTTAATCTAGAGAGGTCAGAGGTTGATCTGTGAAGATGGGAGAAAGTGAGTCCATACATGATTTGCAGGAGAGAGTGGATTGCCAGACAGAATGAGAGAAAGATCTGACAGTGTTTGTTTTTATCTGTGCTGTACTAGGGAATGTAGCAGAGCGTGTTGGGCCAGTTTGTGATATTTGATACTGGTTATAGCGAGGTGTACATGCCTGAGCTAGCTGTCTGCTTTACTGTACAAATGTACACCAGTCTTGGATGATGTTTGTCCTCATCAACAAATAAAATGCATGAAAACGCAATTTTAAACCTCTGACTTTTTCTTTTCCTTTACATATTATACTGTGCTAATTTTCACATTTGACTTTTACAATAAGTAGATGTTAACTTTCCCTAGCTTACAGGGACAGTAAAAGTTGGGACTTGTCTGAGAAGCTCTACCTACTGTTTACAATGCTTTTATAGATGCTGTAAATAATAGTACTGTACATACATTTGCAATAATTGGAAGATCTTTGACAAAGTTTTTCCTCGTTTCATTCAAATGTGAAAATTTGAATGAAAAAGGTATGTACGGGTAATTTTAAAACCTACCGGAAGAGCTTTTGAGATACCCTGTGTTTAGTGAACACTGGAAAGGTGTAACTATATTTTGACCCCACTAACCGTCTGTCCATAGTTCATAGACTCGTGAATAACATAATAAGCACATAGTATCTGTGAGCTTCAAAGTAATGACGCAATGACCACCGTCTGTCAGTTGTCAAGTTTTGCTTAGAGCAACTTTTTGGAAATTACAAGGCGTATGCAGGACAGATATTGAAGGTAATGTTAGCATTGTTATCGGTCGGAGACATGGAGTAAGACTTTGAAGAAATCAACATGGATATCTGTTATAGTGTACGCACCTGTCTTAGAAATGTGTGGAATAAGGTTAAGAATTTTCTCACATACTTACAAATGAACAAATTCCAGTCGGAATAAACATGGATCTGATTGTTCCGCCAAAACCCCAAAACCCTAGGGTTGTATGACATCACGGAAACAATACAATGACGTCAAATCGACATTTCATTATTATAATAGATCCTACCATCAGGATTTTTCCTATCCCAGTCCCCTGGGTTTCAAACAGTAATAGAATCTCTCACCCCCTCCGGGGTGGGATAGGGGAATCTCAACCCGAGGAGGAGAAGCTGTATATTGAGAATCTTTCCCCCAGGGTTGAGATTCCCAATCTCACATCAGGGGGGTGTATGATTCTTTTTCTCTTACCCTGTTCACCCAATGTGTATCATACACATAATGTTATGTTAACATTACTGGCTAAATGCAGAGTTGATGTGATGTTGATGCATCATTGACGTGATATCATACAATTGTTATGAATAGGGGAATCCCCCCTGTCTCAATCCCAGGGTGAGAGAATATTTTCTCTCATTCCAAACACGAGAATCAGAAACCTCGTTGCAATTTCCGCATCACAGCATCAGAATGTTCCCATATTTATGTTGTCACCTCAACATTGTCCCATGGTGACATCACGCACACGAAATGGGGGTTCAAGATAGAAATTTCTCACCTTCTTTCCCTAGAGAGCTGTCATATATGAACAGGAATGAGTGAAAAGGGTGTTAAACTCATGTCTGTCCATATATGTCAAATATGTCAAATAAAGTGTACAGTATATGGACATGAGTAGGTTTTATGTTTGCCTTTCCAAGAAATGAGTAGGTAAAGGTCTAGAAATACTGATTGAACAGGGATATATCTCTTGTCTGTCTGTGCCTTGGTAGAAAAAGATTTGAAGAAATGGAAGAAATAGTGACCTGGCATATTGTGTAGGGTGATATAGTTTGTACTTTCTTAGCTGTCTATGTGTAAGTGTAGTCACTCTATGTATACAGACCAGCGATGGGAACATCATCTTTCAAGCATTTCATTAGTATCAAGCATACTTGTGACCTTGCAGACATGAGTATTGTGTTAACAAAGATGTGCATTGATACAGTATGTACAATACCTGGGACCAGTTTGAAATGCAAATCTGTGGATATTAACCAATAGGTTCCATGGCAGCCATTAGTTTCTAGATTGTTGTGTGTTCAGGTATGAAAAAGTATGGGATCACCAAGCTTCCATTCTCGCCAGTATTATTGATAAATATAAGTTGACAAAACTTTTTTTTTTTTTTTTTTTTTTTTTTTTTAGATTTTAAACATTTAAATTTTATATATCTATTACAATGCTACATTAGTCATCAGTTATTTAAATGTGCACCTATACCACCATCTAAGGAAGTGCCCTTATAGACAGGTTGTCTTTATAGACTGGTGGCAGCTAATTCACTGAACCAAGAAAAAACGGAATGGCTATCATTTGTCTGCGAGCAGGTAGCTCAATTGGTAAAGTGTCTGTCTAGAATTCAGAGAGTCCTGAGTTCATTAATCACAGTCTGGCCATGCATTTCTCTTTCTGCTATTAGACTTTTATAGAGAAGTGATTGCAAATTTTACAGTAAATTTTAATCAGTTAACCATTAAGAAATGTTCGCTATACAGGTATTTGCTATACAGAGGTGACATTTATAGGAAGATGTTTGTCAACAGAAGTGAGTTATAAAGATGTAAGCTATACAGAAGTGACCTTCAGAAACAAGTATTGGCTATAAAGATGACCTTTGTGGATAAGTTTATTTATACATATACAAAGGTGAACTTTATTGACAGGCATTAGTGAATTATAAAAGCAGATTCTATTGACATATTGTCTATACAGATGTGGCCTCAACTGTTACGTGGTTGCTGCATAAAGGTGACTTTAATAGGCAGATGTATGCCTGCAGAGGTTACCTTTATAGACAGGTATTTCCTGTACATAGGGAGTCTTGATAGTCAGGTATTTGCTATACCGAGATGACATTTATAGACAGGTATTTGCTATACCAAGATGACCTTTATAGACAGGTATTTCCTGTACATAGGGAGTCTTGATAGTCAGGTATTTGCTATACCAAGATGACCTTTACAGACAGGTATTTGCTTTACCAAGATGACCTGTATAGACAGGTATTTGCTTTACCAAGATGACCTGTATAGACAGGTATTTGCTTTACCAAGATGACCTGTATAGACAGGTATTTGATATACCAAGATGCCCTGTATAGACAGGTATTTGATATACCAAGATGACCTGTATAGACGGGTATTTGCTTTACCAAGATGACCTGTATAGACAGGTATTTGATATCCCAAGATGACCTGTATAGACAGGTATTTGCTTTACCAAGATGACCTGTATAGACAGGTATTTGATATACCAAGATGACCTGTATAGACAGGTTTTGCTATACCAAGATGACCTTTATAGACAGGTAATTGCTTTACCAAGATGACCTGTATAGACAGGTATTTGATATACCAAGATGACCTGTATAGACAGGTGTTTGATATACCAAGATGACCTTTATAGACAGGTATTTGCTTTACCAAGATGACCTGTATAGGCAGGTATTTTCTATACCAAGATGACCTTTATAGACAGGTATTTGTTATATGGAGATTGTTTTAGACATATTTGCTATACAGGGTGACCTTATTGAGAAGTATTTGTTAGGCTGAGATGACCTTTATATACAGGTATTTGTTATGCCATGATGACCTTTATAAAAAGATACATTGAATTTGCTATTCTGAGATGAACTTTAAAGACAAGTTTTTGCTATACATATATGACCTTTGTATACAAGTATTTGTTATACTGAGATGACCTTTATATACAGGTATTTGCTATACATAGATGACCTTTGTATACAGGTATTTGTTATACATAGACGACTCCATATACAGGTATTTAATATACAAAGATGACCTTTATATACAGGTATTTGTTATACATAGATGACTCCATATACAGGAATTTGCTATACATAGATGTCCTTTATATACAGGTATTTGCTATACATAGATGACCATTGTATACAGGTATTTGTTATACATAGACGACTCCATATACAGGTATTTGATATACATAGATGACCTTTATATACAGGTATTTGTTATACATAGATGACTCCATATACAGGAATTTGCTATACATAGATGTCCTTTATATACAGGTATTTGCTATACATAGATGACTCCATATACAGGTATTTGCTATACATAGATGACTCCATATGCAGGTATTTGCTTACATAGATGACCTTTATATACAGGTTTTTGCTATACATATATGACCTTTATATACGTATATTTGTTATACTGAGATTACCTTTATATACAGGTTTTTGCTATACATAGATGACCTTTGTATACAGGTATTTGTTATACATAGACGACTCCATATACAGGTATTTGATATACATAGCTGACCTTTATATACAGGTATTTGCAATACATAGATGATTCCATATACAAGTATTTGCTATACATAGATAACCTGTATATACAGGTATTTGCAATACATAGATGACTCCATATACAGGTATTTGCAATACATAAATGACCTTTGTATACAGGTATTTGATATACATTGATGACCTTTATAGACAGGTATATGCTATATTTAGATGACCTTTATATACAGGTAATTGCAATACATAGATGACTTTTATATACAGGTAATTGCAATACATAGATGACCTTTATAGACAGGTATATGCTATACCCAGACAACTTTTATACTCAGGTATTTGCTATACCAAGACAACCTTTATACTCAGGTATTTGCTATACATAAATGACCTTTTTATACAGGTATTTGCAATACATAGATGACCTTTATAGACAGGTATATGCTATATTTAGATGGCCTTTATACACAGGTATTTGCAATATATAGATGACCTTTATAGACAGGTATATGTGATACATAAATGACTTTTATATACAGGTATTTGCTATACATAGATGACTTTAATATACAGGTATTTGCTAAACATAGATTACCTTTATAGACAGATATATGGTATACATAGATGACCTTTATATACAGGTATATGCTATATATAGATGACCCAAATATACAGGTATTTGCTATATTTAGATGACCATTATATACAGGTATATGCTATACATATATGACCTTTATATACAGGTATTTGCTAAACATAGATGACCTTTATAGACAGGTATATGCTATACATAGATAACCTTTATATACATAGATGACCTTTATAGACAGGTATATGCTATACATTAATTACCTTTAAATACAGGTATTATCAATACATAGAAGACCTTTATAGGCAGGTATATATTATTCCGAGATGACCTTAACTGACAGGTATTTGCATATAGAGATGACCT